CAGCCTTTCGACATAAGCTACTTTTCCATACGAACACAGATATGTATCTTCCTATATGAGCAAAATCGGATGATATATACGATTTTTAGTAATAACTCGACTCCAGAGCTACCTGGCGAGCAATTTTTTCTCCAGAAATATTTCCCTTCATGTCGCCAATACATATTTTGAGTATTAGCCACCTGCCGTTTTAACTATACAAGGATCCACTCAAACACAAAATTTCATCGTTTCGGAGGTTTAGGTATTTACAGATGGTAAAAATTTCATTATGTTTGGAAGATGCCACGCCCCCTTTTCCAATAGCCCCCACTTTTCCCCATGAGTATGGGATTGATTTCAAATATCTCGAAATCAAGTTCCAGGACTCTACCAAAAATACTACCAGAAATATGCGATATGAAAAATGCCATTTGTATCCGAGGTGTGGGCGTGGGCCTCTTTGTTTAATCAAGATAAATGCTATCCTTTTTTTTTAAGCTTTGCTAAATGACACCAATGTCGAAATTTCATTATGATTAGTTGAGTAATTAAAGCGTGAAAGCGTAGCAAACAATCCAAACTAATTTATATTAGTAAGGATTATCCAGTACTGACCATTAAAATAATTTTTAGAGGTGAGCATTTTTTACGTAGACCCAAATACACAAACACAAGGACATATATTTTCTGCCTTTGATTGGTTGTGCTCAACGAAAAACCATTATTAAGGGCTAGTTGTTCAATGTCTGGTTATCATCAGTACATCATTATCGACGATCTCGGCATCGCTAAAGCAGTCATTGTATTTATCCAGAGCTTCTATCTCCGATTTGTGTTAATCAGACATTGACTAACCGGCCCTAAGTAAATATTACGCTCTGATTACGCGTTTTCTCAAGACGACTTTTCAGAAATGTTAAGTATGTAGCACGTTGTCCTTTCACCTAGGTCCCTTACTTCTTTTGAAGAAGTAAATAAGTATATTTTACACCCGCATATGTAAAATATATACCGCTCAACGACTATCACAAAAAATTCACTATTATTTTAAAATACGCGAAATTCAGTTACAGTTGTTAGTAGCCTTTTGTCTCGCATTTGGTAACTGGCACAATTGTTTAATACCTATATTTTTATTCCTCAGAACCTGCGAATCAACACATTAGAACACGTCAAAAAAATAAACATCATGCTATGCGACCGCAATCTGACTCAGACTTTAGTTACTAAAGATTAGTATTTGACATAGTAATTGATCGGCCATGAATCTCCCTCTCTACGATAGTTTTAAGAGGTCCCGCATCTAAAAGCTTAACTGCAGTTAAGAGGTCAGGTAAGTTGCAGGAATTTTCACATGCAGTAATCGGCAGGGTTTATTTCTTACTTTTTGCCGTTTTATTCTCGTTTGCTTGTACTTAACAAGAGCAATTACCCCTTTCCAGTTGTAATCTCCTTTTTGCAATAGACATAAACTGCAGTTAAGGCTTGGTGGAAATGAACTATGTATTAATTTTTCCCATAGGAATTACACGTAAGAAAATGAATTATTCTCTTCGACTTTCTGCTTACACAAAAATTAAAATAGATCATTTGACAGCACAATTACATGTCTGGCTGTAGCTGAGCTTGCAGAGGTGCTTGCTGTTATTTGTTAGCTTCCAGAAGGTGCGGGTTCGAATCCCATCAGAGGCAACATGTTAAAAATTATAATTTTTTTGTCTTCAAAATATGAAAAAGTATCTGTGAAGTGCGGAACGAAAGCGTATTCAAACGAAAAATACTGACTTTGAAGTTTCTGTAACCAAATGCATTTTAAACTAGTTTAAATAAAATGCAGAGTCGGATAACTTACTTTCTCCTAGGACATGGCCATGTTAACAAAGGTAGTTGCTTATATGAAAAAATGAAGAAATTCAACCACTTGTAGTTGGTATAAAAGTACTTTTTAAATTGATTTTAAAGTAGTTCCACTTCCGACAGGGATATAATCAATGAATTCTTATAGGTTCGAGCGTTTTAATTAATCGTAGTAAATTATATTGACCTCAAAAGAGAATAAATCATTTTCTTACGTGTAATTTTTGTGGTAAAAACTAGCACTCGATGCGCGACCTCTTAAAACTATCGTAGAGAGTCAGAGTCGGTCGCAATGCAGGATTATTCTTTTTTTTTTCTTTGACGAGGTCTAATGTACATACATATGTCCATACATACATATTAACGTACATACATATTTTCAAATGCAAATACTCTCAATAAATAAGCGATTATTGGAATAAATTGCAATCAGCAAGTGGCGTATAAGTGATTGCGGAATAATCGCGCATGCGCGCCGTTTTTTTGTTTTGTGTTTCAGTTAAATAAGCAGTGCAAATTTTCACATGCACATGCATACAAATATGTAGGCATTTACATTTGCAATAGGGGTATACGTCATGTGTTCAAACAACAACAAAATTAGCCAATCATGCTATTTATGCTATCTAGTGTGCACCATGCTAGACAGTATGCACCGGATCGTGAGTACCCCTAATGTAAACAAAGCCAGATGTTATGTACATTTGTGCAACACGCTTAAGCACATAAATACATATGTATATATCGTTGATGTTTTTGCAAAACCGCCAATCGACCGGTTGCAAAACCGCCTAAATCGCCGTTGTAGCAAAAATGAGATTTGGTAACCCTGAACTTCAGGCATCGAGATGTTTGCATAAAAATCGTAAAATCGTTATCAAACCAACAGATTTGTAAAATAATAGCTAGATAAAATAACGCCTATCAAGGAAATGCCTTCAAAGAAAACCCGTTTTTTTCGTTCTCCTGTAAAATTTGAGCGCCGTAAGATAGGCGGTTTTGCAATTGGACCATTGTCGGTTTTGCAAAAACATCGACGATATGTATGCATGTGCATGCAAGCATAACAACATATTTCTCAATATTTGGCGGCGTTCAATCCTTTCGGACATACATAAGCCAACATAAGTGTAAACATCAAATCGTACATAGGTATGTATCTACAGGCTACCGGCCATAATCACCTCTTCATTCATCCGCATTGCGTATTGCTGCTGTCTAACATTTTAACCAACATTTTGAAACAGGTCTATGGCTGTCGCTCTTCTTTTTCTACATAGATATGTATGTATGTACTAAGTATGTACATTATCACCGCCCGCTTAGCTCCTCAGCTAAACTACTTACACATTCCTTCTTTCTCTTTTGTAAAAATTAACGCAACACAGCCAGTAGCACCACTACCACCAGCACCATTATAGACACCGCTGCCACCTACCCACCGCTGCGCTGACGCCGGAG